ATCATGGCAACAACACTTTTGTTAAGGCTAGAAGTACACTTCTCATAATCCTCATCTTTCCAAACAGTTCTTTTGTTAACTGTTTGGATTGCACTCACCAAATTAGTCTACAAATTCAATAACTTTTGTTAGCAAATTAACAATCAATAAATTTAATAGAGTATATTAAAATAAAGTACCTGAACATATGTCGGCAAAAATCGGACATGGGGATGGCAGCCACACAGGATCGACATATAGCAATCAACGAGTTCAGAATTCAACTCGTTGCCGAACAAAAGGTCAATCAATAATTTACCTCGGACCACCATTCGATCATTGCTCCACACGATTTTGCTACCAAAATTTGCAATTCTAATTAGGACAATATAACATAAATGAAACAATCAAGAAACTGAAATAAAAATTTCTGTTACCTCAGGCGATCGCTCGTCAAGAATGATCGGATGGCTGCACAATCCTCTTCATGCAAGGCCTAATCCTCATGGCCGTAGAAGTCTTTCCTCCCTCTAAACTCGATCAGAGGTGACTCATCAGGATCATTCTCGTCAATCTCCTACATTACAAAATAATTGGTTAGTTAAATGAAAATAACATGAACAATAACATAAATTACAACATCAATAACATAAATAAAATAGATAGTTTAATTACCACATCATCAGTAAACTGCAACTTTTTTTTTCTTTTGTCTTTTCAGACCGGATGACGGGGGAGTCATAAAATTCACTGGCTTTCCCTTTTTTTTCCTCCTTTCCTCTCCCGCACCGTCTTCACCATGGATGAGGCCTCTTAGTTCTCCTCTCCCGCCAAACCGGCCGACTTCACCACCATGTCAACCAATCTGTTCAAATCAACAAAATCATTATTTTCATCATCAGCCTTCCCCTTTCGGTCATCCTCAGCCTCACCCTTTCGGTCATCCTCAGTCTGATGTTCATACACCACCAAACCCCATTTTTCATCCTCTTTTCCCTCCATCTGTTTTTTCCCCTCCTCCTCCCCCTCCTCCTCTTTTTCCTCATTTTATTCCTCCTCGTTCTCCTTCTCTTTTTCCTCACTCTCATTCGGCCCAAAACAGCCATCACCACCCTCATCGGCTTTTTCCTCATCGACTTTTTCCTCATCATCTTTTTCTTTTTCTTTTTCTTCTTTCTTTTCTTTCCACTCACTCTCCAACAGATCAATTTTTTTCTCAGTTCTTTATTCTCTTGACAAACCATGGCAAATAGACAAGTCTCCAACGTTGTTCCCCCCCTGTACATGAAAGAAAAAAATTAAACTAAAGGGAACATAAATTACAGCTACGTGCACCTATGAAAATATATTAATGTTGAAACATAAATTAATGTCGACCAAATTTAAAGAAAACCTGGGTCTCCACAAAAGCACGCTCGGCAACCACAGGCGATACCGAATACACCTGCAAAGCAAATCATAATGATTTAAGTACAATATCGATTAACCAAAAGATAAAAAGAAGAAGTAGAAAACACATAATACTATAAAATTATATAAATTACCTTATGCCGCATTACTTTTTTAAGGGCTTGTAAAGACCCTTCAAATGTAGACGGCATCGAGGTCCCCTTCCATGTAAATAGACGGGGAATCATCTCGAGCGTGGACCATTTTTCCAGAGAAGGCACATGCTCGTACAACCAAGCCTACACACATAGACATGATTTGAAAAGTAAACAAGCTCACCATTTCATATTATTGTATTAAGAAATTCAAACACACATATACATTCCATCATCCCAACAACACATCCATCAAAGTAGGATCGGTCTCTCGATCCACCATGGCGAACAAGCTCGGCAACCAGGAATTTATGAGTAGCATCTCCCCATGCGTACTCAAAAATTCGACTCACATCCTCTACGTAAGGGTAAAAAAACCTGGGGATGGAATAACTCAAACAAGGGAACAAAATGCAACTAAAAACAAACAAACTATACATCACGATGAAGTCGTCTACACGACCTTCATCAATAGCAAACTTTTCTAACAACTCTACAACATGGTTTCTTCTCAACAGTTTATTACCTACTCGACCCCAGCCGTGGAATAAGGCTTTCGACTCTAAATTAAGGTCTAAGTCGACGCTTAGACCGCCCAGTCGAAGCCCCATCGTTACACAAAACTCGGCGGGGTCAAAATTAAGAGACACATTATCTCCTACCAAAAAATTAAGGGGCACATCGACATCTTAATTCCGTGCCCTATCACAAACAAATAAACCAAACAAAAATTTCAAACAACAGAAACAAATACAACAACAATAAATAAACCAACAACACCATTTCAACCAAACCAGCAACACCATTTCAACCAAACCAGCAGTACCATTAAAGAACAAAATAGCAACACAATTAAAGAACCAAATAGCAACCAAACCAGCAGCACCATAAAAGAACCAGTTGTGCAAGATACAAAAGACTAGTTCAAATATCAAACACACAGTCACTAAACAATTAATACAAAATTAAAAAAAATAATAAAATTCAGAACATGCTTAACTAATTGAGCCTAATTAATACAAATTAGGAAGATGCTTAACTAATTTAGCACTAATTGAGCCCTAATTCATATAAACCCTAGACATGCAAAGAGCCCTAATTTATCAATAAAATTCTTAATTGTTGAAATAAAAATAAAAAAAGCTCGCCCCTCTATCGCCGTCAATTTCCAGTCAGATTGAGCCTCCTTTAGCAGCGTTCGGGTTGGCCGGTGGACGGCTCTCCCGCCGCACATCCTTCGCCGGACTGTGGTGCTCCTCTCTGAGGTCCCTCGCCAAAGGGGCGCGGGCTAGGGCATCGTCAGACCTGAAGGTTCGGGGCTTGTCGATGGTCGCCGGCGTCCTAGCGTGCTGGGGTTTCGGTGGGGAGCGGTGTCCAAGGGCAAGGAGATGGCCTGGTGTTCTTCCATCGCCGTGGTCTGTCATCTCTGCCTTCTTGTCGCCGTCGGGCTGCTTCTCAATCCCCAATATCTCGGCGTTGCAGGGGTGTTTGGGATGGGTGTTGTCCGTGTGGGTTGGGTCGGTTGATTATCGACGGTTCGGGCTGTATCGGAGCGGCCAGGCTGAGGCAACATTCGTATCCCTTCCTCCTTCCCTCTCTTTCTGAGTCCGGGGGAGGCCAGCCGTGCCGGAATCGGCTAGTGGTGATAGGCAATTTCGGGATGGTGACGGATTTGGCTAGTGGTGTTAGCCGATTGGGGGTCGATTGTGGTTTCTTGCGGTTGGAGAGCGGGTCGGTTTTCTTTGGAATGTTTTGATGCTTGGGTTTCGTCTTTGCTAAGCATTAGGCAGTGGCGGATGGAGTTCCTGTGTTTTGGACATTTCCTCGAAGTCGGCTTTGTCTGTTGTTCAATCTCGGACGTCTATGCTGAAGGAAGGCTATGCTTTTATTAGTATTTGTTTTGTTCTAGGTATTTGTTCGAGTGTTTTTTATTGTTTAGGTGTTTGTTTGTTTTCGGTCTTGTGTTTTTTGTTTGGGCCGTTGGCCTCTGTGTGAGCGGGAGCAATTGATTGTCCTGTGGGGACCAGCTTCTGTTTCTATTCTCCTGTGGGGAGCTTTTCGTTGTAGTTTTCCTGTGCGTTTGTTGTGTAGTTGTTTTGAGTGCCTTGTTTTGGTTTCTAGCGATTGCTAGTGTCGGGTTTCTAGGCGGTCGTCAGACCTGTCCTCCCATTTTATTCAGCTTTGGGCTGCGCTCCAAGTTGTACCTTTGCACATTTGTGCGTTTGTTTTATAAATTATCTATCGTTTCGACCAAAAAGAAAAAAGAAATAAAAATCAAATTCAAAGTTCATTAGAATCAACCAAATCCCAAATTTTGAAGATTTTCGAATTCAAAAAAATATCCAAATTTTTGAAAAAAATCCTCATATTTCGAATTCAAGAAAAAATTCAAAATTATTGAAAAAAATCCCCAAAATCTTACATTGCTTACTGTTATAGACCCTAATTTCGAATTCAAGCCCTAAATCGAAAAAAACCCTAATTTTCGAATTCAATCCCTAAATTGAAAAAAACCCTAAAATTATGAAAAAAAGCCCAAAAATCAGGAATTACCCTTGTGCTTGGTAATACCTTCGTGGGTGTCGAGGAGGAGGTCGGTTTGCATGGAGATTTCTTTTTGGAGTCGGCCATTGCAGAGACGATGGCGAGAGACAGAGAGAGAGATGAAGATGACGATCGCGATGGTGATGAACGATGAACAATGAGATCGAGGAAAGAGAGGGGGCAGAGACGGCGATGGCGACGAACGAACAAAGAAAAAGAGAGAGCATAGATGGATGACGAGCGAGGAGAGAGAGCGCAGAGATGGAGGACGAGCGAGGAGAGAGAAAAAGATAAAAGAAAATTTGATTTTCTAATAATTGAGGCAAAGTAAATGAAAAATAATAACATGACTATATATATGGGAAGTGAAATGGAAAGAAAAATTAGTGAGTAAATAAAAAATAATAACATTACTACATAATAACAATTATGTTAGAGACTGATTTGGAATATGAATAAGCCATCAGGGATTTATACTTTTCCGTTAAAACTATGATTGTATAATTGTAAGCCTTCCACTTCTCATTCGAAAATGACAAGTCAGGAGCACCACACTACAAATATGACAAATCTTTTATGGAAGAAGTGGCAAGATGGTGTGCTAAATTAAATAACATCCAATTACATTTCTGTACTAATCCACTTACACAAATTTTTATGTACTTAATCCGTCATATTTATTTAATTAAATAAAAAAGTGTATTTATATTATTAAATATTATATTTATGGAGAATCTACATTATTTGTTAAAGTATAATTTTTTTAATAAAAATATCTAATTATAAAGAAAAATAGGTCGGACTGCAATCAACTAATCCTCTCAAAAAGTTTAAAAAACACTTTAAAACAAACTCCAGAAAGCGATCAACTGCTACACGACAGAAAACATTTCAAATCAGGCAAATAATTAAACTAATTAATTAACTTTATCATCACAAACGAAACCCCAGCGAAGTCTCCGGTAACGACGACGATGACGTCACGTACTCCCTCACCTCCCTCGCTATCACATCCCTCATCGCGCCCCACAACCCCGGCGCCACGCCCCCCGCCTCCGCCGCCGTCCCCGGCGGGGCCAGCGACAGCGCCGTCGCCGGCTCGTCCCGCCGCTGCGCCGCCGGACACTGCCGCCTCTTGAGGGTCGAGTTCCAGTGGTTCTTGACGGCGTTGTCGGTCCGGCCCGGCAGCAGGCGCGCGATGGTGGCCCAGCGGTTGCCGTACATCTGGTGCGCCGCCAGGATGGTCTCGTCCTCCGCCGCGGAGAAGGGGCGGCGCTCGACGGCCGGGCTGAGCTGGTTGCACCACCGGAGGCGGCAGGACTTCCCCGACCGGCCCTTTATGTACCGGCTTATGAGGGACCAGTTGCGGGCCCCGTGCCGCTCCACGAGTCGGGTCAAGATCCGGTCCTCCTCGGCGCTCCACGGGCCCTTGATCCGCTCCAGAGCCTCCCCATTTCCCGCGGATCTGTTCTCCGATGAATCGGAGGAGGACGAACTCGCCGGCGAGCATCGATTGAACACGTCCATGTTTTTTTGATTGGTATATGTTTATTTTGCCTTGTTTTATATTGTTTTGAAGGTGTTTGATGAAATGTCTGAATGGAGACTGATTTTTGATAGGTATGTTTATTTTGTCTTGTTTTATATTGTTTTGAAGGTGTTTGATAAAATGTGTGAAAGGAGACTGATTGAGGGTGTGGAGGTTTAAGTGGTGGGCGAGTGAGCTTAGAAGTATATGATGTTTTATANCATGGGATGGCGGTGTGTTTCTATTTGTATATTTAAAAAAGAAATGACAAAAGAAAAAAGTTATTGCAACTGGCAAGAGTTGCCAACATGAGTTAACCGGTTCAAACCGGTCTTGTTTATATCAATCACATCTCATTATATAATATCATTATTTATTAAAGTATCTACAATGTTTTGGGTTCTATTGTTTTTAGAGCACTCATAATGTTTTGGGTCTCTTTAAAAAAATCAAGTGTCATGTAAGAAATAGACTTAATTTATAAAAAGATGTATTCCAATGCAATAAAAAATAGACATAGTTTAGCTTATGTGGCACTAGAAAAAAGAGATCAAATTCACTCTTGTGTCTATTTTGGATCCAAGTACAAACCTGCTCAGTCAGCAGTTGTTCACAATTTTTTTTTAATAGGCAAAACAGATTTTTTGGTATGCATTTACTATTATTATATTTTTATTGGTTGTTAGGTATTATAGACCTAGTACTTTTCTTTTTGCATTGGATAGATTTTAAATTTTTTAACTTGGATTTGTCCATGTCATTATGGACTTAAGTCTATTTATTTACGACATATACAAAAAGAGACCCAAAGCATTGTGGGTACTCTTACGTGTAGCATGTAAATAGATCTAAGCCTTGAATGATATGGAAAAAAATATATAAAAATAACAAATTTAGCTTCAATGCAAAGAGACTGTGTCTCTACTTGGGTCTAAATAGACTTTAAGACTAACTGAGTTTCTTTTTCTTGCTGCCACATATGCAAGACTAGGTCCACTTGCACTTGCATTGGAGTATATATTTATTTAGACTGAGTCTATTTCGTGCGTGTCCTGTATATTTTTTTTTTTTTTTTTTTNTTTTTTTTTTTTTTTTTTTGAATGAACCAAACTATTGTGATGCTTGACAATGCATTGGTTAAAATACTTTTACAAATATTGTAATGTTTGAATATCTTGTAATACTTTGCTATGGGATATTTTTATTTATTGAAATATGTTTATTTTGTGGTAGGGTAGCGATTAGGTTGAGCTCGGAGTAGTCTCCGTGTAGTCCTACTATTCTCAGTACCAAAATATTACATTTAGGTTGTCTATTGCCCAAGTATTTATAGTTTTTCATCAAATTTTACATATTTTTTTACTCAAAACAATATGAAAAATATGTAAGTACTTATTTTTATTAAAAAATTATGGTTACTTAAACATCAGATCGTCTCACATAAGAATTTTTATTTTATGTAGAATTTTTATTTTCTGTATATTTAAAATTATCAGTAGGTCTTTTGGTGGTTTGCCTTACCGAACAAAGACATAATTTTTTATTTTAATAAAACAACTATTTCATAATTAAATGTGATACTCTGTCAATATAAATACATATATATAACTATACAAATTAATCAACTTCAATATTTATGGCCCTTCATACAGTAAAAACATGTTACTTAAAAGTTAAAACGTTATAATTAACTTGTTTTGTTCGTTTAATTTTAACTCGTTAAGTCCACGGTAGAAATTTTTATGGTTAATAAATTTATATCAAATGTATGACTTATGAGACAAAATGTTTGAGCGCTTAAATTAGACTGTTCTGAAATGAAGGCTGGGGTGTTAGTTGTTTTGTAATGATAAAAAAGAAGCCTAGCTAGGGTGGGCGTAATTGATTAATGGATAGAATCACAATCAGTAATCTTAATTTCGCTTGTGATAGGGATTGAAGCCAAACTTTGTTTTCTGTTTTTAAAAATTCCTATTCTTGTATAAATTTCACTCTTCTATCTCGACAAATAGAATTAAACCAAAAGTGGAAATATAGTGTTGTGTTTAATGTGGGTGTAACTATTGATTCTTAATTTGTAGTTTTGCTCCAAATAGAGTGTAGATCTAAATTGACTGAATGTGATTTATAGAAAATGTTTGTGCAGAGAGAGATTAGTGCATTGTAATATAAACGAAAATTGTGTGGTCGTCTGTTCATTCACAATATTAAGTTTGGTGTTCTGCATGATATATAAAAAATAAGGCGAAAATAGTTTTTTCACTCTACTATTATTCACATCGTACGTTGATAAAATAACCTTTTCATTTCAAATAGTGCGATAGCATTGTGCAAAAGTTAAAAGTGCGAAAGCATTCGCATAACCCTTCATACTTTTTAGGGTGAAAAAAGTTAAATTGCGAAGGCATTGTGCAATTAATATGTAAAAGTTATATAGTCTATTCGTATAACCTTCGCAATTTCTGTGGAGAAAAATTAGATTGTTAGCGGACAGTGTGATAACTTAATATATCTTTATAGTGGGGTAAAAAAGATTTCTTCTCAAATATAAATGTTACAAGATTATTGTATTTGAGTTATTTAGTGGAATTATAAAAAATATAATCGCAATTTTTTGTGAAAAATAATATAGTGGTTTTCATATTTGAGTTTCAGCAGGTAAATAAAACGAGCCCTAGTGAGTTCGAGCTCCTTTAAGGCTCGTTTAGTTAACAAGCAGAGGCTTGTTGTGCTTGATAAATTGGGTTAGTTATGTATTTTTTTGAAACTTCTAACATTATTCAGCTCATTGACGAGTAGAGGTTAAGCTTGTTTATCGGCTCGTTAAGTTAACAAGCCGAGCTCTGCTCGATAAGGGATCAAGCCCGAGCTCGAGTATGACGAGATTGTTCGAACAATAAAACAAAAATCGAAATTACAACTTAAGTGCAGACATATTAAAGTCGAGGCGATTGAAATTCTTCCGCAAGACAAATATGCCCCATATAGAGCTAACAGGTCTATGCGTAATGTCCTCAAAGATACAAGGGCTATTGACTCAGAAGTTGTAGCACACCAGACTTTAGGGCTCCAGCGAACACAAACAGAGTCGAGAACTTGAGCAATGTATATGATGCTTGAGGCTTTCATTATAGAATGAATAAGTTGTATGTCTTGTGTCTACTGCAGCTTCTACACTGTCCTATTTAATTAAAGGACTTTCCAGCCAGGTGGGAGTTTACTCTTCAGCTTGTAACGGTCAACTTATGGCTGTTGCAACTAAGGAGTTTCAAGGTGTTAATCCATCGTTATTCCACCTGATAACCACCGAAGCGGTCAGGTGGGCAGGTAAAGGGTCAAACGTCTAGGTTCATAGTACCTGAAGGTCTCACACGGGTTGGGTGAAATTCCGAATCCAAACCTAACTCGGTTTGTATTTATCTTGAGCTTCAGAATTGCAAATAAATTTGCAGTAAAAAGATTATAAGGGTTGGGCCTAATGCCCAAGCCCAAGACCGACCCAGACCGACCAAGGCCGCCCAAGTCTAGTCTAGCCCACAATCTAATTGTCAATGCCCAGGCCCGAGCCCGAGCCGAGCCGACCGGCGGCAGGCGTGCTCGCTTGCATGTGGTCGAAGCCCACACCAACACTTGGTGTATAGTTTTATTGTTGTTTGTGACCTTTTTAACTCTCTTTATTATAATAAAGAAAGTTAATCTCATTTAAGAATCTAATGTCAGAAGGACTTTTGACCATTTGAATCTCACAACATCGTTTTACATGCTTATTTATGACTAACTTTAATTATTTATTTCTCACTCACCGAAATCAGTTTTGAGTAAATAAATATACCACAAGTTTCTATTTAGAACTTAGAATTTTTCTACACAATTTAATTCAGCACGAATTAAATATTTAGCCATAAATAATTCAGTCAAACTTGAATCAAACCCAAATTTTATAACTGATTTTTCCAAGAGATGCAGTTATAGATTTGACTTGTGTTGAGACTTGAACTTGAGGATTTGAAATGGTGTTCTCTGTTAAGAAATATGATGTTGTTTGTATATATAGCAAAATGAAATGAAGACACAGCACTACAAAATGAAAGCATGTTCATATTTTGTAACTGGCCATGTTTTGTTTTTTTCTTTTGCCGAAACTGGCCATGTTTTGCTATTGATGGAAAAACCCCATTAACGGACAGAGGCAACGTTAATTATTTGATCATCAATTCGATCTTTTGTTTAATTAAGGAAATTTCACTAATTCCTGTAAGATTCATTGAACAAAGAGAGATGAACTCTTAATAATAACTCGTAGTATTAATAAAGGTTCTGAATAATAAATTTGTCTGCTAGTCCAGATTCAATGTGTAAACATTCCCGGGAAATTGAGACCTGGTTTTGTAGATGCTAAGACATTGGGTGGACACAATGGGTTTTATCCACCTATTTCACACACACATAAATACTAGTGGTGAGCATGGGTCGATAAGGTTCGGATATTGATAAATCTCCAGAACCGAACCGAAAGTCGGAGATTACTAAAATTCGATCTCCAGAACCGTACCAAAAAATCGGTTCGGTTCGGAGATTTTTATTTTTCGATTCGGTTCGGTATTCGGGACTATCGGATCGGTTTCGTACTGTTTGATTCGGTTCGGATATTCGGAGATTTTTAAATTTTTTTGAATGATCACCTAGTTATATTTAATTTTTATATGTTTTTTTTAATCCAACATCATCAGTACTTCATCATATTAAAGATTTTATTTTTAAATCAACTTTAGAACTCTAAATTTTAGTTAAGATATAATTTTGCAACTAACATTGAAAATTTAAAATTCAAATAAAATATAAAATAGTTTTTTATTAAAATAGTATTTTTTTTAACCTTCAATACCGTGTTAGTTATTAGATAGAATAAGATTAAGTATCGACAAATTTAAGTAAAGTTTAAATATTTTTTATAAATATATTTCTTTAACCTTTCATTCCATTTTTTTTTTTTTTTAAA